TAACCAAAACAGCATGGTACTGGTATAGAGCAGACACACAGACCAATTGGAATCACAGAATAGGAGAGCCCAGAAATAAGACCACACCACCTACAATCATCTGATCTTTTGCCAAAACGACAAAAATAAGTAATGGGAAAAGGATTCCCCATTATAAATAGCTTGCTGGGATAACTGGGCTAGCAATATGCAGAAATTGAAAATTGGACCCCTTCTTTAGACCACATAGGAAAATCAACTCAAAGGATGGATTAAAGACTTAAATTGTAAAACCCCCAAACACTCTTAAAATCTTCCAGAAGGAAAATCTAATAAGTAACCCCATTCAGGGACACAGGCACAGGTGAAAACTTCAGGATGAAGACGCCAAAAGCAATTACAACTAAAGCAAAAAATTGGCAAATGAGACCTAATTAAAACGAAAAAGAGCTGTCTGGCACAGGCAAAAGGAAATCTATTATCAGAGAGTAAACAGACACACTACAGAAATGGGAGAAAATTTTTAGTGTAGCCTTGTAGTATAGTGTGAAGTAGGGTAGCATGATGCCTCCAGCTTTGTTCTTTTTGCTTAGGATTGTCTTGGTTATTCAAGCTCACTTTTGGTTTCCTATAAATTTTAAAAGAGTTTCTTCTAATTTCATTAAGAATGTCAATGGTAGTTTAACGGGAATAGCATTGAATCTATAAATTGCTTTGGGCAGTATGGCCATTTTCACAATATTGATTCTCCCTATCCATGAGCGTGGAATGTTTTTCCATTTGTGCTCTCTTCAATTTATTTGATCAGTGGTTTGTAGTTCTCCTTGAAGAGGTCCCTCACTTTCCTTTTTAGCTATATTTCTAGGTATTTTGTTCTTTGTGTAGCAATTATGAATGGGAGTTCGTTATGATTTAGCTCTTGGCTTGCCTGCTGTTGGTGTATAGGAATGCTAGTGATTCGTGGACACAATTTTGTATTATGAGACTTTGCTGAAGTTGCTTATCAGCTAAGAACCTTTTGGGTTGAGACAATGGAGTTTTCTAGATATCTGATTATGTCATCTGCAAACAAAGATAATTTGACTTCCTTTCTTCCTACTTGAATAACTTTTATCTCTTACTCTTGCCTAATTGCCTAGCCAGAACTTCCAATGCTATGTTAAATAGGAGTGGTGAGAGAGGGCATCCATGTCTTGTGCCAGTTTTCAAGGGGAATGCTTCCGGTTTTTGCCCATTCAGTATGATATTGGCTGTGGGCTTTCCATATGTGGGTCTTCTTATTTTGAGGTATGTTCCTTCCATATCTAGTTTTCTGACAGTTTTTAACATGAAGGGATGTTGAATTTTATTAAAGGCCTTTACTGCATCTACTGAGATAATCATGTGGTTTTTGTCTTTAGTTCTGTTTATGCACTTTTATGGATTTGGACCCTTTCTTAATGTAAATGACTCAAATTTAAAATGTTTGAATATAGCAATAAATCAACAAAGGGGATTTTGGAATGCTTTTACAAAATATTTGTGGAATTTACAAGTTCACTGGTAATTTTAAATTTTCCAGAATGTTTTATGAGATTTTGGAGCCATTCACGTAATAAGTTATAAAACTCAGAGACAAATCTAGACTTGATCTAAATGCTTGACAAAAGAAAACTAGAGCTCAAACTAATTTACTATTGAAAATATGAGCACAAATGGAACACAAGAATGGTTCAATAAGAGATAATTTGTTAACTTGCAATGTAGTAATATAATTCAACTCATCAGTAGATCAAACAAAATACTCTATTGTCTGTCACATGGATTTTTGAAATAATCATGAACAGAACGAAGCATTCATTCTTATTTAAAATAAATACATAAATAATTTATATGTAAAAGAGCAGAAGGATATTCTCTTAATGTAGAGTCAGAACTAGTGTTATGTATACTTGAGAAATAAAATGTTTTCTTTTGTGATGGTGGTGGTGTTGATGTTACAAGTTTGTATACCATTATTATTGTTTAATATTGCTTAGAAGGTTTTGGCTAGGAGTTAGGAAGTTTTGATGGCGACAGTAAAATAGGAAATAAATGTATAAGAAATTGATTTCATATTAATGTATTTAATAAGGAGATATATATATATATACACACACACACATATATATCATATGATTACCATCATACCTTGGAGATATTGTGGATTCAGTTCCAGACTAATGCAATACAGTGAATATTGCAATAATCAAGTGTCACAAAGTTTTTGGTTTCGTAGTACATATAAAAGATATGTTTACACTATATTATAGTCTATTAAGTGTGCAATAATCACATTATATTTAAAATATATATACCTCAATTTAAAGATTGTTTTTCCAAAAAAAAAAAAAGCTAACACAAAGACACAAAGTGAGCACCCACTGTTGGAAAAATAGTGTTGATAGATCTATTTGCCACAGGGCTGATACAAACCTTCCATTCATGAAAACCACAAAATCTGTGAAGTACAACAAAGCAAAGTACAATAAAACAAGGTATTGCCTGTATCTCCCTCAAAAATTAAAAGAAAATTACTAAAAAGTATATGATTTAATATAAAAGTATATGCAAGTATCTGGATAAAGAAAATATACCAGCAGCAATAAGATGAGCACAGCGTTTACATGATAAAATATTTAATGAATTAGAACAATTCATATACAATGGAATTTTTGAAATTGTGAAATTCATAGAAATTAATTTAATGATGGGTATGTGAACTAGAGAAATAAAATAATAACCTTAGTTGGGAGACTTTATTAGAAATTTTCTGAAAATAGAGAACAACAGTGGGTTCTTGGAAAGAAAAATGAAATATTTTAAAAACATCCATTCTTCTCCAACTAGATGTTTTAATGTAAATAATAAATTATCAATAAAAATTCTAACAAGCTAGTTAAATAAAATTTTTCTGTAATTAAGCTTTAAAATGAAATAGATAAAATATCAAAGAGTTCTCTTTAAAATTTGTAGTCGTAAGTAAAAGTGGGCAAAAGGATTAATAATCCTCTTCACCTATTACACTGTATTGAGTAACTTTTTTTTACTCGTGTGAAGCTTGTAAAAAAATCTAGAAAGAGCCTTTAGTATATCAGTAGCTATTCATGTAAGAAGACATTCTGATTGGGAGACCACATCCTCCTGAAACATTAAGAGAGAGACAGATAAAAAGAGACAGTGAACTAGAGATAGAGAAGTATCCAAATATAGATGTAGTTGAAGTACATGCTGACAGTGATATTTCAAAGCAGTAGAAAAAACTGCATTTCTCATTAAATGGTATTGCCACAAACCTGATAATATAAATTATCTCGATTCTTTTTCATAGTAGAAAAAATACTCATAACAGTACACCTTGCTTTTAAAATAATGTATCTATTAAAAAGGCAATTTGTGTTAATATTAATTAGAAATAAAAGTAGTAAAAGAAAAAATACCCTAGTATCTCATAACCTTTCCAAAGTGAACCACTATTAAATTAGATTGGTGCAAAAGTAATTGTGGTTTTTGCCATTACTTTTAGTGGCAAAAATCGCAACTGCTTTTGCACCAACCTGATAATAACAATTCAGTGTATTTCCTCTCAGACTATGCTTTATGCTCAACTTCTTATTGTTGACATCATACTTTATATCCAATTATAACTCTTACATTTTAAAATCAACATTATATTTACTTCCCATTATATTACAGATGTTTAATAAGCATCATTATTGACAAGTGAAATTTCATCATATTGATTCTTAATTAACTGCTTCACAAAACGGTACAGAACATTTGGAATATTTCCTGTTTTTCTTCATTATAGATGACAATTGTGGACAATCTCATGCATAAGGCTTTTTGCATACAATATAGGCTTTTAAACTAAGTTTGTCTGTAGCTGAATAGAGGTATGTTTTGTTTGTCTCTTGGCTTTAGTATGGCCATATCCTTTAAGATGCTTGGATAAGAGATAATTTAAAAGACATTGATTTTCTTTTTCTTTTTCCCTCCTTCTGTAAATTATTGTTTTATTTAGTATTAAAAAGGTTCAGAAAGGAAGTGAAAATGGTTTTTTAAAATAGGCCTTTAAGAAGCAAGCAATTACAGTTATTTTTACATGGGCTAATCAGTATCCTTTTAAATGTGTAATCAAGTGGCATCTATAATTATTTGAGCCACTTGGCTCATGCATACAATTGAATCTACCAAAAACGCATGTGTTTACTTTCCTTTCCTAATCTTTCAGAGCTTGTAACTAAGAGTTTGTTTTTATTTTCACCCCAAAAGCTTAGTTTTGGAGGAATTCCAGTACCAGGAAAACCTGGGACCTTTTTAAAGAAAAACTTCCATGGATGCATCGAAAACCTTTACTACAATGGAGTAAACATAATTGACCTGGCTAAGAGACGAAAGCATCAGATCTATACTGTGGTGAGTCAACCCATCTGTTTTGTCTTGATGGTTTCTACCACTTTGGGGTAAGTCTTGCTTTCACCAGCCCATTCCTGCACCCATTCATAATATGTTTATCTTATGCTCTGAGTTCCCATCAGTCTCTGAGGTGACACTGGAGAGAAAGAGAATGGCAGGTATTGAATCAGTGTAAATTGCAGTAGTGGAAGAAACAAAGACATTAGGGCCATCCAGAGAATTGTTTTTTTGTTTTTTTTTTTTTTTTGACTGTGGGGTATATTTCAGCTGTGGGTAGTATTTGCAGTCTATATTGGGACAACATGAATTTTTTATTATCTTTGGAAAATGAAACAAGAAAACCACATATTCCATTAAATTCTATGGCCTGGGAGTTACATATTTGTCTACTTATTGTTAATATTAAAAATAGTTTATTTTAAATGAGGGAGATTAAACTTTTAGTGTGTTTGAGATTCTCATTTATCATACTGACAAATTAAATGATTTTCTAATTAAGTAACATTTGGCTTCCCTAATAGACAATGAGTTTCATGAGGGTCAGGACCGTGTTTTTTTTTTTTTTTTCACTGCTGCATTCACAATGACTAACAGAGTGCCTTACACATGGTAGGTGCTCAATAAAGGTGTTGATGTTTCCAACAATAACTTTGGATTTGTCTGTTTCTCCCTCCAGTTCTATCCATTTTTGGTTTATATATTTTGTAGCTCTGTTGTTGATACATACACATTTAGTATGCTATGTGTTCTGGTGGATTCACTCTTATCATTATATAATATTATTATCTGTCTGATAGCTCTCTTTGCTCTGAAGTCTGTCTGATATTAACATAGTCACTCTTGCTTTTCCTCTATAAATGTCTTTGTGGTGTAACTTTTCCCATCCTTTTGCTTTTAGCCTGCCTATGTCATTATTTTTGAAGTGAGTTTCTTGTAAGCAACGAATAGTTGGGTCATGGTTTTTTAATTCATGCTTTCAATTTCTGTCTTTTAATTGGTCTATTTAGCAAATTTACATTTAATGTAATGAATGTGTTGGGCTTAAATACTTGTTTATTTTTGTTTTCTGAGTTTTTAAAAATTCTCTTTTCTCTACCTTCCTGTGTTTCTTGGATAGTTTTTAAAATTCTCTTTTGCTTTATTTAGTGTTAGAGTATATCTGTGTATGCTTTTGTTACTGGTTTATGTAGACATTTTATTATATATACATAACTTATAGTAGTTTACTGGTTTAATCATTTTACCAATTTAACTGATGTGTAGAAACCTAATTTCCATTTACATCCCTTTATTTTCCCTTATTTACTTTATAATTGTCTTCATTAGACAATTATATTTTTAGAACCATTTCTATATATTTAGAACCATTTCAAGTAGTATGATTTTTGCTACAATGTCAGACATCATGTAGAGAATTCCAGAGGAGAAGGAGAGTTTGTTGCATTTACTCATATTTTTGCCCAATATTGACAAAAGGTAAAGAAAAGCTCTTGAAACCACGAGGGATATGTTTGGCTTGGATTAGTATCAAAGACTCATTACTGCTTCCCATGTGACCTGCAGTGACATCACAGTGTTTGTGTGTGGGTGGGAGAGGGATGCCCCTCATATCACTGGAGGGTGATGACAGTCCTGACTCACCACTAAACCATCTCTGAGACTGCTCCTGCAGGGGTGAAGGGGGGTTCCTCATGATAGCTCAGCAGGGGCAGAAGTCTAGGCTTTCCTTGTGATCTCAGTTGATACCACAGTGAGAGACTTGGTTCTATCTGACAGTGATTAAATTCCCAGATCTTCAGAATTGTTCTTGTAAGCCACAGATTCCCAGATTGATCTTCCCATATACCACCCTGGCCAGAAATCTGGGCACCTCACTACAGCATGGCTCAATGGAAGTGGGGCCACAATCTTTTCTATGGCATTTGGCTTAGGGAGAGAAGTTGTTGTCTAAAAACATCTCTCTTTCTTCATTCTTTGCCTAGAGAGAGCAGTCTTCTAATGGCAATTTTAAACAGAATTTAACTGCACCAGTTGGTCTCTCTGGGTTGTTTGTCTTTCAGCAACATATGTAAAACAGATCAGGTTACGAGAAAATCCAGAGAATTCTCCAGTATGTTTTTCTCTTGGTCCCAAGGTTTTTATATATCCTTTATTTCTTTTCTCCACCATTCGGAGTTCTTTTTAGGTAGATTTTATACAGAATTTCTATCGTCTTTTAGTCTTACTTAGCAGAATAAATAGGGAAAACTATGTTACGTCATATTCCTGGAATTGGAAATCTCTTCAACTGACATTTTTTCTTTCGTCTATGGCAAGAGTAGGTCACCCTATCATTGACAGCAATAATCTGATTCTCTTTGCAACCTACTTATAGAATTATCTGAACAAACTATGGGTTTAAATGACTTTGTGTTTGTTTTCTTCTTTGATAAATATAATCTATATTGATTTTTACGTTTTCTTGAAAACTGCCATTGGATTCAAGGATGTGAGTCAGAGGATGCTCCTGGGGTGTCACACTTGGATTAAAGATTGTCAGAATTTTAAAAGGTTTGTGTCAAGTCCCTGACTCTTTTGGTTTGGAAAAGTTAGGATGATGCTAGGGAGGGATTAGTTATCTCACTGACTCTAGAAAAGCCATTGACATTACTTGTCCATCTCTGGCTCATGCCCAAGGCTCCGGACAATTCTGCAACTTATCCACATGAGCTTAGGTCAACCATCTCCTAATTAACATAAGCACTGACTTGCTCATGACATTTTTTTTTTCTTTTTGATTCTAGGTTTGTGGTCTTGGGCCATGGAAAGCACACTCATTCCTATCCCTTTCCCAATATTGTTTCAAGAAATATTTCATAACATATCAGTTTCTTTGAGTCCAATCTGCTGACACAGGGGCCCTGCATTGAGATCATGCACTATGGGAAGTTTAGATTAGCCTAATGTCATCAACATCAAAGGGCATCACTACTAGCCATTTTGCTAAGATGTGGCAGAGCAAGTTGAAACAACAGTAAGCTTATAAAAACATTGCACACTAATTGTTCATAAACTGGGACTTAAAAGTATAAAAGCCTGAGCTTTAGATATAAATAACTAAGATCTCTATAATAATATTTTTAAAGAATGTATTTATACATATGATGTGTTAAAAATATCTTTAATGATAAGATATTTTAGAGTTACTGAATAAGCAAAGCAAAAAAAGGAAGATGAGAAGGAATAAGGGGAAATAAACTTCAGTTTCTGAATATCGGTAGCTTCCACCATTTCCTTTTCTGCGAGAATCATTATCTAAAAGTTTAACAGGTGTTGTGGTGACTTTTAAACTACTACAGCACTTATCAAGTTGCCTAAAACTTTGCTAGTGTACGTTACTCCTCAGGGTTTAATTGGCGGTATTGTTAATATGAGGCATAAAGAATCCATTTAGCCCTAATGTATTTGGAAAAAAATCCCAAGAAAATTGTTTTATTTGCAGGTAGGCAACCTTAGTTTTAACCTTCACAATTTAGAAGAAAAAAACGTACATTATTTTTCTTCCAAATTGCTTCCAACACCCTGCTTAAGTGAGAATTCACATCACTATACACTTGCACATGTACGCACATGCGCACACACACACACACATTTATATATCTAGTCTATCTCCTTTAGGAATTTCTTATGAGAAGCAATGGTTTGCACAGTTAAATACTGAAGTACAAACTCTTCCCTTTCTGTAGTCAAGCTTAAAGTTTTCCCCAAAGACACCATATCTGCTACAAAATCAGCTTTGCTCCCAGTCACTAAGTCACTGTGGTGCTAAGTAAGGGCTTTTGGAAGAAATGGTATTTTTGTCCTTCTCTAGTGTCTGCAGACTCTCTTGCATTATTAAGCCTTGGGAAGTTCAGATTCAAGGGATCAACAAATCAGGCAGCAAGAGTATGGTACTACCCATAAATTATAAAATGTGTTTCAAGGCCCACGGAAGCCCCAGCCTTTGCCTAATCTAACGTATGCCTTTCTAGCAGGCTGCATTCAGCAGCCATCCTCATTGCAATCTGTCATCCTTTCTTGTGGGACCTTCCCCCTCCCTGGAGACTTAACAGCTGTTCCACAGGGATGATTCTATTTAGTCTTTATAGCTCGATTTGACTACAAGACAATTCTCCACATCCTGAAATGCAGTAAAACTAACAGCTTAAAGTAGACATAAAAAATACCTCACTATTCTTCCTCAAATCCTTTATCATATGCTAATATAGCACTATATAATAAACAATCAGAAAGCAAATGGCCCATTGAAGTGTATGTACAGTACCTGTAATGTGGGTTATTATATACGTAGTATAAGAAATATATTGCTGTGATAGTTTCCTGAAAATGATTAATTTCATACCTTGCACTCCGTCAAAAATGATGCTTTTTTGAGCTGTCCTTTCTGAGTCTTACATCCCCTCTCCCAGAGGCAAGGAGAATAACATGATTACCTGTGAGCTGGTTGAAGTTTCACTCACATCATTGTAGGTTCCAAAATATTTTGTTTTTTATTTAAAAGATCATAGTGGAAATTCATGTGTTACTTCACTTTGCCTTCAATAGAAGGGACGAAAATGCAAATAACTAACAGGGAGACTTTAGTTTAGCTTTGGAGCTAATTGACTATGTCAATTCATTTCTGTGCCTTTGTCTCCAAATAATTGGAATCAGGGAATTGGATGGGCAATGGCCAATACTAAGCCCCATATAATACTACTCCCAACCTCACGGTTGAAATTGCTAAATAATCACAAGTTACCTTTTCGTTTGCCCTAGAGGAAAACCCAAAGGTCTCCCTTCAGTGTTTCTGGAAGCATCCGTAATAAAATCATGACTGAAACATTGACTTCCTAGGTTGTTCATACCCACTCCATGGCTTATTCAGCTATGGGATCTTGAGAAAGTTACGAAACTTCAGTACCCTCATACATAAAATGAGGGCAATTATAGTATCTACTTCAAAGTGTTAGTGTGAAGAT